GTATCTGAAGCTTCCTACACTGAAGCTTCCTACGCTGGAGATCAGCAGAAAACTCTTATGGAGGTCCTCAGTTATTGCCAGGTATTTTTTTTTCTTCATCTCTGAAATTACATTTAAACAATTTTAGTTAAATTTCAGAAGATTTGCATTCTATATTTGTTAACCTATGACTTCATCCTTTCCAGTTGTTCATTATTTTTGATGCAAAAATAATCTCCTTTTTCATATTCTCTGAATTTTTCACACCACAGCTGGCAAGAATACTTTTCAAATACTAGGCTTTAATACAAAATGTAAAGTACAGTGATTTATTGGGAGGGGCTTCACAGTAATGAGAAAGATCTGACTGTCATACACACCCAGCTTTTGAAAGTACACAAGGCTTGCCAAAAGCATGCCAAAATCCTGGTAGTGTTGTTTTGGCAAGTTCTTTGCTTTCAACTTCTGAAGCAGTAACTGGCAAGATTGAAAATCACTGCACTGAAAATTGAAAGCATCTCATATTTATTCAGTGAGCCCTTATGTGACTCTGGAGTCACAGTATTCTGTAGAGTGAAAGACGTTCAGGCCATGCTAAAGGAGGATAATTTGTGAGTGGTTTGTAGCCAAGTTTTAATGTCTTGTAAGTCTCCTTAAGCATATATTCAGCAATGCTGCGGAAGGAAATTGAATAAGATTGTGTGACTAACATTCTTCCCGTTAGTCTGGGAATGTGTGCTGTAGCAAGTAGTGCTAATGAGAAGCTATAGCCTCTTTTGCTGCCTACTAGGCCCTTTCCATCTCCTTCACCCCACTGTTACCCCTTCTCCCGGTAAATCTGCCGTAGGACTACATGAAGCCTTTTAATAATGCCTGTACTGTCCACGGTGATTTAAGGTCTTTTAGTGCTTCCTTGAGATGTTTCTGAATTTTGGGAAGACTTACAGATTCTTCTGTCTGCGGATACTTAATTTTTTTAAAAGATAGCTGTCATACTGAAATCTGAGTGATGGTTTTGATAGAATTTCAAATTATTTTCAATTTTATCTACTACAAATACATATGTATTTTTAAAAATTTCTTTGCCTAGTTATACTGTAGATCAACAAAAAAATTGCTTTAGTTAGTTGAAGACACGTTTCCTCTTTGTAACTCATGTAGTTATAATGTCCTTGTGTGTTTTTTGCAGTAATAGCTGATGACACGTGCCTGATACGTATTTTCAAGTTGGCAGTGTCATTTCAATACTAGATTAATATTCTGTGATCTAATTCCTTTATATTGTTATGTCACAAAGTGTATGTCTAAATTGCTGTGTAAGCATCATGTTTGAGTTGCTAAATCCTGGAAGCACAGAAGAAGGAACTATATTGCACAGTAACGTATAGTGGTAACTGATGGACTTTGAATCCTTTCACTTATCTGGCTTTTATGTCTGAAAATTTGGGCCTTTACAATAATACTTTTAAAAAGTTTTTGTACCTGATTGCTTTAGTAACACAACACGAATTGTTAACATCTGAAAGAAAATTTGACCTTGGAGTTTGACTGAAGTTCAGACATTTTCAATAAAATAAGTAGGTTTTTTTCAAATTCTTTATCTTTCATTCTGTGGTTATTAAAACTGGATGCAATTGATTTCAATGCCAGGTTTGTTCTGGAAGGTATGGCTGAGTTAATTTCTCGATACATCATTTGCATCTCATTTTCACAGAATCACAGGATGATTGAGGTTGGAACGAACCTCTGGAGGTCATCTTGTCCAATCCCATACTCAAGCAAGGCCACCTAGAGCCCAGGACCATGTCCTGATGGCTTTTGAATATCTCCAAGACGGGAGTCTCCACAACCTCTTGACCTTGGACTTAATGTACATCCAGTTTGCTTAAGTATTCCCTGACCAGATCCTCTTCCACCCAGAATGTATTCTTTGTTCCAGCCTTTCCCCCTGGTCTGTGGGACTCGGGATTCCTGAAGGCCAGTCTTGCTAATAAAGACTGAGGCAAAGGTGGCATTGAATTCCTCAGCCTTTTCTTGTGCCCTGGATTAGCAGGTCCCCCATCTCCTTCAGCAGTGGACCCACATTTTCCCTACCCTTCCTTTTGTCACTTATGTACTTACAGAAGCCCTTCTTGTTGTCTTTGATATCCCATGTTTTATTTTACAGATAGTATTTTTCTAAATATATTTCCCATTGGTAATAGAGAAATCAATATTTTGGTGGCTGCCTATAAGCCTTTTACCTGTGTACTTAGAAACTTACTATGACTTAAAATAGCGTATAATACCTAACTTACCTTGGAGCTTGTCAGTAGCTTTTCAATGTAAAACAAAACACACCAAATAGGTAAAAATAAAACATCTGCTGGAAGCAGGTAAAAATAAAACATCTGCTGGAAGCAGGAAGAACAACCTTTAAGTGCCAGCCACATTAAAGCTGCAAGAGTAAGCTTCTCTGAGAATTCTTTTTACTGTGATATCTACCATTGTTACTTGCATTTTGTATCTAAGTTGATCTTTAATATGCTTACAGAACGTATATATAATCTGCAGATCTTACCCAGTTTTAGGGAGGGAATTTTGCCCTTAATTGAACTTTCTTCATTTCTCCAGATTTAAATTGGGTTCTTGTGAAACAATACTGTTTTCACTCTTACGTTTGTTGTCAGGCCATGTATGATGCCATTCAGAAATTGGATAAAAAATTTGACCTGCTTCATCGAAAGGTCTCAGAAATGCAGCATACTCGTCTAAAGCCACTGTTGCTCAAACCTGTGAGTATTAAGGATTTGAGATGTTCATTTTTCCTTTAATTTGGTCACTTCCCTTGATGCTTATTTAAAAAAAAAAATCCTCTCCTTTCACAGAGATTAAAATTAGTAACAAAGCAGTAGTAGACTTAAAATCCATTTCAATTAAATTATTCTAGATTTCTTACTATATGCCAGCTTCAGTCTCCTATGTTGTTATTGACCATTGGTTTCTGCAGTTAGGAGAGTTTAGGCATCATTCACACAGGCTGGTTCAATTGACTGATTCATTTTTAGATATCAACAGTGTGGTGTCATATTCATTACAGTATAGAATTGTATTTTTTTTTAATAAAACACCTTTTTTTAAAATTTTTAAGCAGGTTTGATATTGAGTACCTACTATCCATTTTGTTTCTATATGGTCAATCCAGTGTTAACTAAAGAGATGGAATATTAGTACTTGTAACAATGCTCTTCAAAAGGAAAACAGGTGATTTTTGAAGAAGGTCATAAAATCCATAATGACCTTTCTTTGTCAACAATACTGCAAAGCTTTTAATGTGGCAGAGTTGATCCTGCTGTCAGTTATCAAGACATCAGTAAGGCCATTTGCTTTAAGGGTGGGTAAAAGTGATGACATTCTTGTGCATGTCAGCTATCAGTAAGATACTAGGTTTTATTTGGGAATGCGTTTTTGTTGACAACTCCAAGCTTATACTGTCCACATATCCAAAAATATGAGATTCAGGGAATGAACTGGTCTTGTCAGCTGTGCTTGGACCCTGTGACCTCTGTGCTCTTACCCTCCCATCTGATCATGTGGGATGGCAGCTGCTTTAATGTTCAGATTAAAAGTGACCTGCACTGGTTTTTGGGGGTTTTTTTGTTCATTTTGAAGAAGGCTTTTATTGCTCTAAGGTGTGAAGGGGAAGCCAGCAAATGCAACCTGCCAACCATTTTCTTAGATTCTGCTTAGATTCTGCTATCTTTAAAACCATCAGGAATGCTGTAGATTTGTTTATATCTGTATCACTGTTGTACCTGTGATGGGCTAAAGATATAAATAAGGAAAGGTTGGTTGTAAAGGTATGATTTATTTTTTTTTAATTTTTTTTTTTTATTAGCTCAACTCCAATAGCTGGAGAAATGGACAAACTTTCAGGCACATAAACCTTTCTTTAGGTCATAGATTTTTAAAGGTTACACAGGTGGAATATAATCAGATTTCTGTAAATAAAAAAAAAAAAACACCACAAAAAAAACCCCAAAACACAAAAAGAAAACAAACAAACAAAAACCCCAAACCCATGTGTGTCAGCTACATTTGGTGGCTCTTGCTCAGTGACTGGTATTTTGAACTAGAACACATGCTTTAGGGTGCATATGTTTCTTAATAAAAGTACTCCAAGTGGTGGAAAGCATAGCCCATTTCTCAGCCTGTCTTAGTCTCTTTGGAATCTTCCATTGTAGATGAGATCTGAATGTTTAACGTTTTCATCTAGCAAGTAAAGAAAGAAGAGGCAGCCAGGAGAGAAAGTCAATTGTTTTTTTTCATGTTTAAAAGGAAGCTAGCATGGAAGAAGAGACGTCCCTTGAAAATTCAGCAGACTGGGTCAATGATTAATTTTTTTATGGAGCTTTTTTTAAGAGCCTTTACAAAGCTGCCTTTCTCATTATGTGTTTCTCTGGCTTTTTAGAAAGCAATTGTGCCAGCACCCCAGGTGGCAAAAACTTGAGAAACATTGAAGCTGACCAGATAAACTCTTAGTGTTGGAACTACAAGTAAGAATAAAAGAAAGTAGAGGGAAGGCTAAAAAGTAATAGCGCTGGCTTCATGACAATGCCTACTTCAATAGAATCTGTTGCCAAGAGCATAATTACTATAATCTAGTCTTCCTGGTTTGCAAAAGAAAAAAATAACCAGATAGGTCTAATTTAACCTTTTAATTGTTTTCTGAATCACATTTACAGAAACCAGTTGGATTTACATACAGAAGTTCCAGTCATTTGCCCCAAGGAAAAATAAGACTACAAAGATCCATGGAAAAGGAATCAAGTCTTCATCTCTCTTCACCAGGCCAGGGAAGGCATAGCCCAGTCATAAGGGTTGCTTTACAAAATGGCCATGTTCAGGTCAATTCCACAATAAAACATGTGCCGCAGAGTCTTCAGCTTGAGTCACAGCAGCCTGTTCAGAGGCAGAGCCCACCACTCCCCACTATAGTTTCTACACATTCATTGCATTCATCATACACAGCAAATAACAGGATGCCTGACCTTTCTCCACAATCAAATCTTGTAGCTAGTGTTGTGGAAAGTACTGTCAACATTGCATCTTCACCAGTGGCATCGTCATCGATGCCAGCACCTTCTGAGTCCGGTTTGGGAAACAATGCTCTGGTGATGAACTACAGAAATGCATCTGGGAGTATGAGCATTAGTAAAGAACTACCATCTTCTTCAGTCTCCATTAATCCCAGCCTTGGTGAGTTCCTTTGTAACAGAAGGCTAAAAAACTGCTGCAGGTATAAAGAAATGTGCCTAAAGAAATCTCTTAAGCGTTATTTACTAAAAGTAAAGGAGCAGGACTGTCTGCTATATAAGCATTTCTATAATGGGATACTGTTTAAAACTCTTGAAACAAAGGTCATAGGAACATTTAATATGCTGCCTTTAAAAACTTCTGCAGTGTATATATAGTTGTATAGACGAGCACAGGCCTTTGATTTACAGTACGTGCTTTGGATTCTTTTAAGACTAGGCCCTCTTTTTCTCTCTTCATACTGTTGATGTAACCTATTTTTAACCTGTAAATATTTCATAAGTAATGTATGCATGCTATGCGTATGTTTAAAAAGACAAAAGAGATTGCCAGTAAAGCTAAGTGAGGCATATGCCTGTATACGTTTTGCATTTAAGAAAGCAACTTACCTGATTTGTGTGAAAGAAATACCTGTTTTGTGGAGGATTTTATCAGTGAAATAACCTTTCTATCCTCAAATCCTCCAGTGTTTGGTTTCTTTCAAAGTACCATGTTCCACAGAAAATGAAGAATTCCATAGATCATTGTGTTATAATAAACAAGCACATATAAAATAGCACCACGTTTTAAAAACTAATGCATTTCTTTCTTAAGTATAAATGCCCAGAGTTATGTGGAAAGCTGAGCTATGAGTTTTGGTTGCTTTTGGTCTAAAAAATAAATTCATACAGCCGAAGAGCTATATGAATAGTAGGTGAGATACTCCGATATCTCTCTGCTAATTTGTAAACAGTGTATGATGTAGCAGTATTATGTATGGATATGCCATTCTTCACGGGTCATTGTCTTGAAAACATATGTGGTATCTATACATGTGTAAAATAGGCCAGTCTGAACATTTTGGACTCTCATGTGTCTATTGTATTTTCTTGGGTGTTATTATTTCAGTTAGTTATGTTGGTGGTTACCACAACTCAAAAAAATATTTCTATTGCCATTCCAATTTAAAACTGCTTTTGTAAGAGCAAAGATACGTGATACAAAGAATTAGCTGTAGTAGAGAACATATACTGAGAGTACCATAGAGGTCAAGAAAGAGAGCTTGAAAAAGTGTTCTTTTTTTAACAACTTGCTTGGGGTCTTTTTTAATTTTTTTTAAATGTTTTTGTTTTACACAAGAGTTTGTTGGTGACCCAGTGAGAAATGTAAAAGTTCTTGGAAACTATTTGATGAAAGCTCGGCAAAAGACTAAACCAAAGTATGCAGCACGCTACTTAGTTCGTGTCTTGTTCCCCAAGGAAACATTATTGTGCAGCATTATGGGAGTGAGCGCACGAGGGCGTAGAACATTGGATCCAAACAAAATTGCTGCAATAAGAGGTATGCTGCCTTTCAAAATGCGCAGATTTACTTCTTTAATACTTAACAAAGTTTTAAGCTCACAAGGAGTCCTTTTCTGTATGTTTCTGCTAATCATTGTCTAACAGCTGGTGAACTGATAAATGCGGTAGTGGATGTGCTCCACTCGGCTGTGTCTCTTGGTTTTGAAATTCCTGCTTTGTAATTTTCAATGTTCGTTTTTCTTCAATGTGGATAAAACAATTCTGATTTCTCCTGGTTTAGTGTACTTCATGTTCATCAGTCATGCTGACTGTTTCTAAAATTTTTGTTAGAATTTATTTTGTGTGTCTGCGTGGCATGGGTTTTGTGGGTTTTTTTGTTTATTTGGTTGGGGTTTTGTTTGAGGTTTTTTATGGCTGTGATATACTTGGGACAACTGTTAACTGGTGATTCTTAAATGCTCTACTCTTTCTCTTAAGTTCACTACTCTTGTTTGTTTGAGAAATGGTGAAGATGAGAAGAGCGTTTTTTGGGTTTTTTGTTGGTTTTTTTTTTTAATGTCAAGCCATTTACACAGATCCCACAGCACGTATGTGTGAATCTCTACATCCCCTTCTTGTTTCAAGGGTTGGAGATTGTTTAAGCCGTATTAAGTAGTCGCAGCATCAGCATTACCCTCTCTCTAGTTGTTGCACAGGGGGGGTTTTTTGTTGATTTTTTTTTTTTTAAGTTAGTATGATAAATCATACCATTCCTCTAGTTGTAACAGGAAATGCTTGATAGTAAAAGCTGCCAGCTTCCAATAAACAAAAGCTTAAATTCATGGTGCTGCTTAGCTTCAAAACGTGAGTTTACTATCTGTCTTTAATTAAAGCTGGAAATCTAAAGCTTCTAAAGGGAGAACAGCATTTCTTAGCTTTCTCTCTTTCTTTCTAAATTAGAATACTTTTAAATACTGCTTTTTGTCATGAAGCTTAAAAACTTTTCTACATTTTATATGCAGAATTTCTTGCAACTAACTTCCCAAACTATGATTTGAGAGAGCATGGAAAAGACTGGAAAACCTGTATCACAAATGTGAATGCTATGATCCGCTGTTTACGCTCTGAAACAAAAATAAACCCAGTAAGTTGTCTCAAGGTGGTAATTTATTAAGTACTAAGTTTATGCTTCTTTCTCAATTTAATTATTTGAACTCCTCATCATACGAGTGCTCTAATTGGAAATTCCTTGAGTTCTGCCTTTGCATTGCTCAGCGTAGGCTTGCCGACTGCAGCACTAGTTCCACATGGGGAATACTGGAAGCATATCCCTTCCTCTTGCTCTCCCTCTTCCTCCTCCTCTGTCCAGTATTCAGTTGAGATGTATAAGCATAGGATACTACAAGGAAAGCACTCTAAATGTTGCCCAGGAGTAGTGTCAAATTTGATTGCGAGCTTAAACACGTAGGTGCTAGCATTGTTTTCACAGCCTTTCCTTCAGATATATCCAGCCATGCATTTCAACTTCATATATATTGACTGAAGCATCACTCCCAAAGCACCTGTAACTCCATTTACCTCTGCTTCTAAAAAGCTTTGTGCCAATCTGTGAATATTTAGTATCTGTTTTGCCTGTGGTTTTCATGATTAAAATTCAGAAGTAACTATATTGTAAATATCTGGAATCTAATTTATACTAAATGGGAAATGAACTGGAACAATAATTAGAAAACTGGTAAGTTTCTCCCAGTGCATGTGCTAACCTCATTTAATGTTTCAGGAGACAGCTGAAGGGAAAGAAAAAGCGGCTGTCGCTCCAGATACATCTCATTGTGTAGATTTAAATTATAATGAAGATAGTGAAGGCAATTCTCAAAACTCTCAGAAAATGACCAGCTCCGGATCTGACACATTGCAGAATTCAGGATTGGATAAGTTTGCAGAAGCTTTCCACGCACCTTCAGTCAAGAAACCGCAGTCTTTGGAACCTATGGGTAAACTAAGAAATTTTCATCTTCTGGATTTGTGTGTTATATTTTACATGGTCAGGGAGAGGCAGAAGATGCTACTGTAGGTGAAATTGTGTAGTAAAGGGATTTGCTGAACTGTGTGATTCTTTTGCTCTTAAGGCAATCACTTGGTGTATATATAGTAAGACTTCATGGGAGCAAACAAGAACAATATCTAGCTATCAGAACATGTGTTTGCATCTACCAATGTCCCATAATGCATATCCACTGTAAGATTGAAAAGTTCAGCTGTAAGATATTCTGTTCAGTTTCTCTGAATAATTATTTTTCAGGGATTACTTCACAGTTGCCCTGTTCTTTTTTTTATTTGGGAGATATTTGACCTTAATGGAGTAAGCTAGCTCAGAATATCTATTGAATAGTATTGCAACTTCAGAAGGTATTGCACACTTTTCTGTAAAACTGACAATTTAGGACAATAAAAATCATAGAATCACAGAGTAGTTTGGGTTGGAAGGGACCTTTAAGGGTCATCTAGTCCAGCCCCCCTGCAATGAGCAGGGACGTCTTCAACTAGACCAGGCTGCTGAGAGCCCCATCCGTCCTGACCTTGAATATTTCCAGGGATGAGACACCTACCACTTCTCCGGGCAACCTGTTCCAGTGTTTCATCACCCTCATTGTAAAAAATTTCTTCTTTATATCTAGTCTAAATCTGTCCTCTTTTAGTTTAAAGCCATTACTACTTGTCCTATCACAACAGGCCTTGCTAAAAAGTTTGTCCCCATCTTTCTTATAAACCCCGTTTAAGCGCTGAAAGGCTGCAAAAAAAATCTTAGAGCAGCCTTTATAATTTTTTTTTTTTTATAAAAATGCACAATATACAAATGCATTGGAAAAAATTCCATGTACAGCTTGTGATGCCTCTAGAGAGCTTCAAGGAAAATGAGATGAGATTAGTTGCCCTTGGAAATAATTTATTTGATTACTATCACTTTGGGGCTCTATCAGATCTGCTCCTGCACCCAAGATTTGTTAGTCATATCTCGCAGACCTCCTGATTTACTATACATTTTACTTTTTTTTTTTTAATGTTTGCAGTGGAGTCAGATTGACGTAGTTAAAAATATTCAATCTGGTTTTCAGTTTCCACTTACAGGATCTAAGCATCATTGAAATAGCAGAACTTCTACTTACTTATGTAATTGGAATAGCATCATCTTTTCACGTGAGATGAAAACAATTTAGAAAGCAATCATTAATAATGCAGGTTACATTGCTAGCATTGCTGAAAGCATATCAGAAGTGATATTACATTGTTGTAAAACAGGCAGGGTTTTTTGGCTACTTGGACATTTGTCTGCAGTACGTTGCATTTAAGTATTAGCTGTAGCATTATGGTTTTACTCTGGTCTCTCGAAGCAAGTACAGTAGTTTTGCATCCTAGTTTTAATGTAATAGACAGCCACTTTGAAGCATGATCAGTGTTAGATAAGTAAAATTTCTTTCTCTCTCTCTCTCTGGCATCCTTTCTAGAACTTCTTGGAAGTCCATGGCGCAACGTTCAGTTACCTTTCTCAGTCATTTATGTAGCTAAGGGGAAGTCTCGGCCAGAGTTATCAGCTCGCTACCTAATTCGTCATATGTTCACTGAAGATGTGCTGGTAAAAAGCAATGTATATGGTAATCTTGAACGTGGCATGAGCCCACTGGACTGCAACAGAATTAATGCTCTCAGAGGTAAGTAAGGAAATCTGTGTTCAAATGATAATGTGGGGAAATCAACAAGAGTGATTAACTTTTGTATCCTATGAACAAACCATGGAGTTTCAGAAATAAGTCTGTGAAACTGTTTTGACAGGTATTAGTGCAAGTAGTGGAACAAGTTGAGAGAAAGTAGATGAAGTTATCTTTAGGCAACTCAAGGAAAGCTACAGATCACAAACCTGGCTCATATGAGGAAAATGAGTCTCCATGGCATCTGCTTCAAAGGCCAACACAGCGGGAGATGGAAGCAGTCCCAGAGGATTCTGAAGGGTGTCAGGGATAATTTCTTGATACAGGGACTAGGTAGGCTAACCAGAGGTAATGCACAGCAGGTTATGGTGCCCTTCACAAAAAGGTGTTGGGGTGTGATAATCGGTGGCAGTATTGCCTGTAGAGACTATGAAATAATGGACCTCGAGGTCCTGAGTAGAGTTTAAAAGGTCTGAGAGTACAGACCCTGTAGCTTAGGAGAGCAGACTTTGGCTTCTTTGTGAAACTCATAGGTGGGAGCTTGTGAGAGACGGCTCTGAAAAGGAGAGAAGCTTAGGAAAGTTGGCAGGTCTTTAAGGACAGCATTCTGCAAGCACAAGAGAGTCCATCCTGACATTTAGGAGAACTGGTGAAGTTATGGGGAGAAGAGTTTGGCTAAGTAGGGAATCTGTAACTGAGCTCCAGTGCAAAAAAGTAATATATAAAGATTGGAAGCAAGGACAGCTTATGAAGCGGAATTTAGCAGCTTTGCCTAGGAGTGTTGGAATGGTGTCAGTAAAGCCAAAGCTTAGCTGGAGTTGAGACTTGCAAGGAATGTCAAGGGCAGCAGGAAGAGCTTCTACCACAACATTAATCACAAAAGATTGAGCAAGGGGAGAGTGAGCCTGTTGTTGAATGGGACAGGTAACTTAGTAACAGCAGAGTCAGATTAGGCTGAGGTGCTCTGTGCCTCCTCTGCCTCAGTCTTCACCATGAAGGTCTCTCAGGCCTCTGGGTGGTGGTAGTGGTTGGGAACAGTCAGCATATTTTTACCTGTTTGACCCGATTGCCTTGTGTGATAAAATGACTGGATTTGTGGATGAGGGGAGAGCAGTACCTGTCACTTAGCTGGATTATTTTTTTAGCTAAGCTTTCAACGCTGCCTCTGACAATATTTTGGTATTCACCTTGGGATGTTACAGTTTGGATGGGTGGACAGTGTTAAAGGACTAGATGGATGTTTGTGCTCAGAGGGTAGTGCGTCATGCTCTGACACATGGGGTACTACAGGGGTCTGTCCTGGTGTCTGGCCTGTTTAATATCTGTGACTTGGACACAGTGGAGAACACTCATCAGGTTTGCATTTGATAGCAAGCTGGGTCTCTATGAACAGGTGCACAGCCAGCACATCAAGGGAAAGGATTATCTCCCTCTGTTTAGCACTTATGAGTGTGCATTTGGATTGCTGTGTCCCATATTGAGTCCTCTAGGACGAGAAAGAGATACCGATAAAGTTGGAGTGCCACCAAAAGGGACAGGGGACTAGAGCACTTGCCCAGTGAGGAAATTGGGCTTATTTAGCCTGGAAAAGAGAAGGCTCCAAAGGGACCTAGTAGCAGCCTGCCACTATCTGTCTTCTCAGTAAACTCCTCCTAGAGCCAGGCTGTTTGCAGCATTGAATGTGGGAAGATAAGAGACCACAGGCATACATGGAAATGAGAGGTTCAGACTGGGTATAAGCAGCTCTTTTTCCCCATGAGGAGAGTCAAGCAGTGGAGCACATTGCCCTGTGAGGTTGTGTCACCTCTGTCTTTTTTTGCCACACCTCAGTGGACAAAGCCCTGAGCAACCTGAACAACCTCAGAGCTGTCCCTGCTTTGGGAAGAAGGTTGGGGTAAAGACCTCCCAAGGTTCCTCATGGCCTGAGTGAGTGTGATTGGAAAGGAGCAGATACAAGTGCCTTGCCCTTCTAAGGGCTCAGAGGTCAGCTGTGCCTGTTCACCTGAGAGGATCCATTGAGAGAAAAGGTCTTGGCAAATGATTTAGTTGTTTAGAAGCTACAGGTGGGATAAGGACTGCTGCCGAGTGAACAGGCAGTATTTTGAACTGGACCGGTTTTAACTATTTGAATAATAAATCTGTACTGAAGTGTCTTTTCAAATAACTTGTGACAGCCTATTCCACTCTATGGACAGTTCTGCAGTTTTCTCAGCTTACATGAATCCAGGATGTCTTCAGGAAATTGGTATTACTTACTCTATTTGCAAATGCTATTCCAGAAGCAGAGGGAGGGTATGTTATTGTTGGAGTTGTAGTAGATGTTTTGCCTTCTGCATTGTTCTCACTTCAGCAATAAGACTTCTAGAACACTGATCCATGCTCCTTCCTGAGAGGGAGTCTTCTGTTAGTCTCATTCAGTCCCTCCTGCAAGGCTGGATAGAGCAAGAAGAACTGACAGTAGAATTAGCATAACAGTTATGTAGCAAGTGAGGACTAATGTGAAGCAGATTGTAGGTAGAAAAGGTGTATGGCTTATCACACAGAAGAAAAGTTGGGCATTGTCTGGTAAGATTTAAGCATAGCCAGCGCAAACAATGGTGTCAGGGGAAAGATCATCAGGTTTTTGGTGGCCATTTGCTCCATGGCTATTGCAGTATCCTATAATTCAACGTATTTAAAAAGGTTTTGTCCTGCAGTGTAGAAATATTTCCACTTTTTCTTTAATTTTCTGTGTTCTTGCCATATTTTCATTGTAAAAGTTGGCTTCTTCTATGAGAAGTCTGAAGAGAAAATACTTTGCCAGGAATTTAAGTTTTGCTTGTGGGATGTTATTTACTGGGCTGGATCCCAGGCTGGAGGCAATGTAATAGTGGAGTGCCTTCAGCATTTCCCAACACCACTGGCTTGATGTAGGGTTTTACTTCCTCCTGTGTCCTTATAATATCACTGTGGGATAGCGTTCACTGGGTTAGTAACGTTGCATATTTGACTAGTTACGCTCATCTGGACAACACTCTTAGTCTTATAATTCAGTTTTAGGTAGTCCTGTGAGGAGCAGGGAGTTGGACTTGATCCTTATGGGTCCCTTCCGACTTGAGATACTCTATGATTCATCACAGGTTTTTTTTCAATGTACATCTCCTAACAAATCTTGAAACTGCTTCTCCTCCATGTCTGGAGTATAGGAAGGTTGAAGGGGTTGTTAAGATCTGGACAGGGCAACGTAACAGCTCCACAGGTGTGGCAAGATTGCCTCTGAGGATACAGCAATAGTGCTAAATGAGATGGAGCTGGGACTTGCGCTCTCTGGGGTGATGTCTGGGCATGGCTTTAGGGACAGAGCATGCCAGAAACCATTCCCAATATGACAAGACTATATGTAAAAGTGGACTTTCCCAAACTGTACATATCCCTTCAGCACGAGCCAGGGAAGCTTTACCACTTTAAGCATCTCCACGTAGTCCCATAGTACACATACCTTGTTTCATGACCTTTTGAGCTTAAGAAGCATTCAAGAGATGTATTAAGTGTGTCTTAGGGCTGCAGAAACACCACGTAGACTCCAGAGCAGATGAGAGATAAAGTCTTCTGTGCTGTGGTTGAAGCCAGGCTATGTCACTTGGCTCTGGAGCCAGAGAGCAGTCCCTGGCCCTGTCATCTTTAACATTATAACATAGCTTGATTGGATGGCAGCATCAGGTCCCTGAATGTAACCATACAGAACAGAAAGGGGCCCTGTGTAGCCTTACCGTAGTCCCAGCAGTTGGTCAATTTCTGTGAAAGAAAAGGCATAATTTAAAAGCTGGTTTTTGGGACATGTACAAAGGCTCCGTAAGCCTGGTAGTAGGAATTCCTGTTCTGTGCTGTAGCTCTGAGGCCAAGCATTTTCTTGAATTTGCTGTTGGGGATGGACGGGAAGAGAGCCTGACTGCTGTTTCAGCCAACAGCTTGTGTATCCGTTGTCAGCATAACTTATTACAGGAGCATCCTGGGAATGAAAGAACAGAAGGCACTCTCGCTCCCTGCCTTACCCTCCTGGAGCAGAGTAAACTGCAAGAGCACAAGTTTTTCTCTATATATTTTCTTCCTTGAGACCGATGCTTTTCTGGCAAAATAGGTTTCCAGGTTTGGAACTACAAGTTAAAATATCAACTGTAAACAATGATACCGTATTAGATTTTTACTTGCTAGTATATGTGAGAGCAATGGAAGAACAAAAATGACATAATATCAACTAGCTATACCATTCATTCTACTAAGGGAAATATAGATATTAATCAGAGAAGGAGAAAATAGTATTGCCTTTGATTTGAAATTACAGCTAAGAATTCCTTTTTGGTGCTTATTTAAATCTTTTAGGGGCTTGCTTAGAGAAAACATGTCATTCAGCTAAGCTCAGAAGGATAGTCAATCCTCAGTAATTAAAAAAAAATAATTAAAATCTGTTTCTAAAACTACTCTTTATTTATTGAAGGGAAGAAAGGTGCCGTAGTCTTACCTTATATATCCCATTGCTACTGAACTCAAGTATTTGTTTACTGATCTTGTTGCAGTATGATAGAAAAACTGCAAGAGCTTGTTCCTTGTCACTGTTGTTCCTCTACAACTGTATTGTGTTGAATTGCTGTGTTTCATTTTAGTGAATATAGTTGTCAGAGATCCTCTGAAGGAGGGCTTGGTCCTGCTAAATACTGGTCATTCTGAAATGGAGCATGAGATTTCTTTGCTCTGGTTCACTACACTAGAAGCTGAAGTTATTCAGCACTTCAAGGGATCAAGCCCACATACATGGTTACATGCTTTCTTTGCATATTTTATTTTTATGCTTAGACTCTTTATTACTCATTTTCAAAGTAAACAGAAAAGGGGAACGGGGGAAATATCAACTCTCTAGCTTTGCTCTTCAAGCCTCGTAATATGCCTAGCTGTCCTGTTTTGGTAGTATGCACTTGCTTTAGCTTAATTACATCCAAAAAGAGTATATAGCTTGCATAAATAATTGATCACTCATTATTATATACTTGTTTATTTTCAGACTTCCTTCAAGAAAATTATCCATCCTTTGATCTAAAGGAAACTGGATATGATTGGAAGGCATGTGTGGCTGCCATAAACAGCACAATCCGCAGTCTCAGACATGATCATAAAAAGGCTACAGTTGGAATCCGACGGAAAGTCTTGGCAGTGCCACCACTGCGTGCAAAGAGTCCTCCACAGAGTCCCACTCTAGTAACGCCATTTGAAAGTGATACCATCAATCTCACAGACTGAAGCTCTCTAACATCTGTCTCAAATCTTAATTTAGCAGGTTTTTATAAATCCCATGTAGAAGCCTATTGCAGTGAGTACACTGTCCTATTATACTGAGTTGTCAGCAGCACTAAATAGTATTATTTCATGAGACCGCAGTTAGCAGAAGACTTGGGAACCCTAAGTCCTTGTATAAGTAGCATTTGCACTCCTCAGAAATTACTTCCGCTGTTCCCTGTAGCATTCCAGTGTGCTCCCCTAAAAGTACCTTCTTCTCATGATTCAATTCATTGACTGTGAAAGATTAATAATATTAGAAAAGATGCACTGCACATCAAGTCAGCAGAAGCACATAGAAATGTGGAAAGAATGGTCCTCCTTAGAGGAAGACTCCAGCCAGCTAAATTATCTCATTATGCGTGAGGAATTAAATTTGCTTTGACAATTGGATATTTTAAGCAAAAATATCTAATACAGAAGGGGGGGGGGAATGTTTGTATTGCATCTAGATAACTTGTTATATCTCTCTCACTGTTTTGCCCCCTATAGCAGCCTTTGTTGTAGGATTTAAGGAAGGAGGCAGACAACAATGTAAGTACAGGTGGTAATATTTTCTTTGCTCTGATTTAGTTCTATGAAAGCACAAGAAAAGCATCCAGAAATAACAGCCTGATGGTTGGTTTCATTTTTTCTTGATGAAAATTAAAGAAAATATTTTCTCAGTGTCTTGGTCTGCTGTTCAGTGGCTTATGTCTCATCCACTGGTGTGGATGTCCACAAGATGCAAATCTGCTACAGCTTTGATCTACAGGATTTGGATCCTGAATCAAATTTGAGAATCGTGATTATTCACAGAATCACAGACTGGTTGAAGTTGGAAGGAACCTCTGGAGGTCATCTGATCCACTCCCCCTGCTCAAGCAGGCCACCGAGAGCCAGTTGTCCACCAGCATGTCCAGATAGCTTTTGAATATCTCCAAGGATGAAGACTCCATAACCTTCCTGGGCAACCTGTGCAAGGGCTCAGTCACTGTCACAGTAAAAAACTGTTTTCTGATGTTCAGAGGGAACCCAGTGTGTTTCAGTTTGTGCCCGTTTTCTCTGGTCCTGTCACTGAGCACCGAGAAGAGCCTGGCTCCATCTTTTTGTGTGTGTCCTCTTTGCAACCTCCCCTCACATATTCATATACATTGAGATCCCCCTTGAGCCTTCTTTTCTCCAGACTGAACAGTTCCAGCTCTCTTAGCCTTTCCTCACAGGAGAGGTGCTCCAGTCCCTCCATCATCTTCATGACCCTTTGCTGAACTTTTTCCAGTATGTCTGTGTCTCTGTTGTACTGGAGAGCCCAGAGCTGGACACAGCACTCCAGGTGTGGCCTCACTAGGGCTGAGCAGAGGAGAAGGATCATGTCCCTCGACCTGCTGGCAACATCCTCCTAATGCAGCCCAGGGTACCATTAGACTTCTTTGTGGCAAGGGCTCATTGCTGGCTTATATTCAACTTAGTGTCCACTAGGACATCCCAGGGTATGCTCTGCCCCATCATCCAGACCATTAATGAAGATGTTAAACAGGATTGGAACCAGTATTGACCCCTGGGGTACACCACTAGTTGCTGGCCTCCAACTAGGCTTTTTGCTGCTGATCGGGACCCATGAGCCCAGCCACTCAGCCAGTTTCCAGTCCACCTCACGGTCTGCTCATCCAGCCCATATGTGAAGAGCTTCTCTGTGAGGACCTTATGGGACACAATGTGGAAGGCCTTCCTCACATCCAGGTAGATAATACCCATTGCTTTCCTCATCTACCAGGCCAGTCGTTTTATCCTAGAAGTTTACCAAGTTGGTCAGCTGTGACCTGCCCTTGGTGAAGCCATGCTGTGGCTACTCCTGGTGGTATTCTTGTCATTTGTGTGTCAGGAAATGGTTTCCAGGATAGCTGCTCCGTCACCTTCCCAGGGATGGAGGGGAGGCTGACTGGCCTGTAGTTCCCTGGGTCCTCCTCCCTTCGTCATGATAGGAGTGACATCTGCTTTCGTCCCATCTTTGGGCAATTCTCCCGTTTGCCATGATCGATCAAAGGTTATCAAGAGTGGCCTCACAATGACATCAAACAGCTCCCTCACCACTTGTGGGTGCACCATGGATTTACATGTCTAGTTTGTTTTAAGTATTCCCTGACTGGATTCTCTTCCACCCAGTGTGCTTCAGCCTTTCTCCCTGGTCTCTGGCACCTGGGATCCCTGAAGGTCAGTCTTGCTAGTAAAGGCTGAGGCGAAGTAATTGAAAAGTGCCTCAGCCTTTTCCATGTCCTACGTCACTAGGTCCCCCATCTCCTTCAGCAGTGGGCCCACACTTTCCCTAGCCTTCCTTTTGTCACCTATGTACTTATAGAAGCCCTTCTTGTTGTCTTTGACATCCCTGGCCACGTTCAATTCCAGTTGGGCTTTAGCTTTCCTAACTTCAACCCTGGATGCTCAGACAATGTCACTGCATTCCTCCCAGGTTAGTTTTTGTTTGATTTTTTTTTTTCTTCCACCCTCTGTCTGCTTCCTTTTTGTGTTTGAGTTTGTCCAGAAGCTCCTTGTTCATCTGCACAGGTCTGGCATTTTTGCCTTACTCTTTGTTTCTTGAGATGGATCTCTCTGGAGCTTGGAGGAGATGGGCCCAAGAAAGTTGGTTAAAATTCAAGGATCATCTTCCCTCCAGGGCCCTAATCCTGTAGGACTCTTCCTAGCAGATCTTTAAGGAGACGAAAGTCTGCTCTCCTGAAGTCCAGGATTGTGAGCCTGCTTTTTACCATCCTCCCTCCACTCAGGATCCTGACCTCCACCATCTCGTGGTCACTGCAGCTAAGGCTGCATTTGCCCTTCACATTCTCTACAAGCCCCTCGTTGTGGGTCAGTATGAGGTCTAGCAAAGCACCTCTCCTCGTTGGCTCCTTGGCTTCTCTATCACCTGGAGGAAGAAATTGTTGTCAATAATAAGTACTCACCCCCTTGCCTTTCCTTTCTGCCCACACAACACTAAAGATTTATTAGTGCACTGAATTATATATTAAAAAAAAAAAAAACCAAACAAATTTTAAAATTACTTGGATGTTGAACTCATAAAAATAAATAAAAATCAATGACTATCTATATTTGTTTTTACATCCCACTCAGTTTCATTTGTAAGTTGAAATTGAACAGCAGTAACTGTACAGAAGTTAATGGCTTTTTTTGTTGGGTGGGTTCTTCATCGGTTGGGGTTTTTTGGGGGAGTTGTTGTTTTGTTTGCTCTCAAAAGAGGAAGTATTTGGTATTATGCCTTTCTGTCACTTGGTTTTCCCGCATCAGTCACAGAGTCCTCTTGCTCTCTACATATTGTCTAACTGGTGCGTGAACTTGCTGTGCCACTTGCATTATGTCTGAGCATAGTCTCAGATGTCCAACTCTTTCACGGACAGAAGCTTCTTAGAAGGCTGATACAGGGAACCAATTTCACCTCTGAAAGTTGATGGCAACTGTGGCTTCCAAAATTATGCCTGTGTACATAGCAGAACAAGATTTAACTAAATCTGTCCTCTCCAAGGCAAAGGTCTCATGATTTTGATTATTTGTTAGTAATAAGATAAAATAGTGAAGTTACTTGTTCTCACTTTAACAAACAGGCAGTGTTTATTATATACAGTATAGGAACAGCTTTTTTGTTGCAAGTTAAGATATGCAATGGCCTTATCAGATATGAAATCCCCTGCCACCTCCTTGCAGAAGTCTTCTGTAGGATTTAAGAAATAGCCTAAATTTCTCTTTTTTTTTTTTTTTTCTTTTTTTTTTTTTTTTTAACTAGAATTGTACTGCAAATCTGGTTGTTCTGGTTTACTACTAACAAATTCTGCTGTTACTGTTCTAACAGTATTCTTCTAAATGCCAAGAACTTTGTTGCATGTAGATACTACTAGTTCCAAACCTCCAAAAAAAGCAAAAAATGCTTATATTTTTTCAGTAGTTTTATGAAACTTTTTCACTGTCCTTCACAGATTTTAATGGTAGAATGATATATTTATTGAATGACCTGTCTGGCACTGAAATCTGTTAGTGTGGTGCATACCTATAGCTTCCATATTGAAAAGAGAATTAATAATTGAATAAAAGTATAAATAGTTTTCTTGTTTCTGTTTCAAATGTATCAATTTTTGCTAACTTTTATAAAATAAAATTATGGTATTTTGCTGTTAGGAATAAAGTATTTTACAAATAAAGCTAGCATATAGCTCCTTGACTACATACGTGTGTCTTAAATTTTTTGCACCGTGGATCTACAGTTCAGGTACAGTTTCATCTGAAAAGATTCTTTTAGTCTCCTTTCAAGAACCAGGGTTTTGAGGAGATGTTCTGATTGAGGTGAGATGATTTCCAAATTTAAACTACCTTAACTGATTTAGTAAACCGAGGCAAACTTTTTTGGACTTTGCTTGTCAGCTACAGTTTTATGTGGAAATCTCCATTTCAGATAGCTCACACAAGGGTAGGAGTTGAGTAAAATTTTTAAGAAACTCTTTTAAACTGGTGCATTTTTTGGTAGAATAGGCCTTATTCACACAGTGGAATCGGTTTCTGTATTAGTCCTTATTTAAGGGATACAACAGGGCTGGAAGGTGATCTGGTCACTTGAAACACTGAGAGATCACCACCTGTCCTCCATCTGTGTAGTCCTAATACCTGTCCCTAATGCAATACAAGTCCTTCCTCTGTGCGGTAAGAGCTTGGCTGCTTTATTCATCCATGATGGACATCTCTGGGTCTGAGATACTCTTTCACAGTTCATCTGGTATGTCTGGCATCAGCCTTGCAGCCCTCTAATCTAGTACTGCTCGTGTCCAGGATCTGTTGCGCGTTTCCTGGTAACACATAAAATATTATGCTTTCTCGATGCATCTATTGTAGCCTTGTGAGTGGGGGTGCATATTTATATGATACATTAATAACTACATGTATCA